GTTTGATAGTGGCACCTGGAACATTTTACTTCTCTTGAATTGATTTGATGCTTCTTTTAAGAGCAGTGAAATATGAATATAGAAATTTTTATCTTGGGCATAATGTTTTTTCTATTTTAGTTGGCATGTCATTCTCTTGAAAATATTTTTTGTTGTTTGAGTCATATTCATATTCATTTGTCTTCTCATGTGCTATTAAATAAAGAAATGATGCTCTAGGGAATGACGTGTGGTCTGGAACAGGAAAACATTTTGCCTATGCTAAAAGGTCCTAAAAGGGTTTATAAGGGCTGGATACATGAAATAAATGTTGGGTAAATAWATCTTCTTTTTTAGAACACTATCCAACTGGGTTCTTGAGTTTGAGAAATGGGCACCATCTGTGATTGTAGTTAGTTACAAGGTAGGTTCTTGTATTGAAGCAGTGTTGGTTTTCTTGATATGACATTTGAATTATGTCTTCATTTACTACCACTACCAGAATCCCTTGAACACTTTCTTTTTACTCGGTTAATTAGCACCGATTTTCTTGCTTTTCTTATGAGGAAATACAAATTTGAATGAGAAAGAAAATTTATAAGCATTTTGGTAGTGGGAGTAAAATGATGTCATTATGCAAATTTATGGCCTATTCCTTTATCTCTCTATTCATGACTCCTTAATAGTAATTTGTAGYTCCAAGAAGAGGATTATGAAGGGGACTATTGGTCTCCAGGACTCTCCAGCAGTTCATGATCTTCTTCTATTACTTGAAAACCCTGGTCTATGATCATTACCAGTTGATTATGGTTAAGTGATCGGCATTCAGCTTCTAGAATGGCCTACTCTGTATGCTTACATATCATGTATTATATTAATCAGGGATCTCCAAATATGCGGCGTTCTGCAGGAGTTACACTGAGAACAGGAAAGTTTAACGTTGTACTGACAACATATGAATATGTGATGAAAGATAAATCCATTCTTGCCAAGGTACTGTAGACTATCATTATTTTGATCAATTATCTTGTCCCTAATAGACCGTTTTCGAGTTCCAAATTACCCCTTAGTTTCTTGATTACAGACTCATTTACTCAGGGTTAGCCTCGTATTAGTGGCTAAATATCACAGGAAAAAAAAAATGGATTCCCAAATTGGGAATTGTTGGGAATTTCCTTGAATTCCCAATTCAAACACCAATGTTGGGATTTATTGTTGGGAATTTCCTTCTAATACCCAATAGAAAAACAAAATTCCCCAAAAACTAACATTGGGAATAAGTGCCACGTTCCCAATTACRTTCTCTCTGGGAATTRGATGGGAATTCGTTGGGAATTCAAGGAAATTCCCAACAAATTCCCAATTTGGGAATCCGGTTTTCCTGTGTATCCACAAATACCAACAGTAAAGTAAAGAATGCACTACTTMAACAATACAACCACTTTGAAATTCCACAAATCGAGGCTAACCCTGAGCAACAGTGAACTCAAAACTGGATTATTGCTTTGAAATAGTTACATATCTTTTCATTGTAATATGTTTTCCCATTTCACACAGTATGTCATTTCCTTGAGTATTGTGTCTTTATTTAGTTGTAACATTTGAGAAGTTACATGACCAAGGATGGGAAACCATGAATGGTTTTGATTTCCCATTTACTGTGTATTTAGTCTGCTTGGGAATTAGCTTAAACATTCTCATGTATTGCTCATAACACAACATTGTGTTTTCAATTTCCAAATGCTGTGATTTCATCACATGGTTTACCATTAATGGGAAATTATTAACCATTGTTGCTTTTAGAGCAAAAATCATATATGTTTTTYTWAAATTCTAAATGCCATTGTTGTTAACYTGAAGATCATTAAAGTTTTAAGAACCATTTCTATGAATGTTATCAAATTAACACAATGTATTTTTTACCACAATTGGAATATGCTAAAAAACATGTTTTTCAGAGATTTTTTCCTGTGCAACACACAAATGCTTGAAAAAATGACATTTATCTTCTGYTGTTCAAATTCAAGACCTCACTCATTTGCTGCACTCACTTGCGAGATATCAATTTGAACACTTGAAGATAAATTCAATATCTCCACAGCCCTTTGTATTATTCACTATATAATGTCTTACTTGTTCCAACTTTTTCTTGATATTCAGGTTCACTGGAAGTACATGGTGATTGACGAGGGACATCGTATGAAAAACCATCACTGTAAATTAACTCAGGTCCTAAACACACACTATTCAGCCCCACACAGAATCCTGCTGACAGGAACACCATTACAGGTRAGTAAGATGGATGTGATAATAGAGACCTTTAGCATCAGGTTTACCTCTTACCACTAGGGATCAGGCCCAGAAACACACTGCAAATGCAGAGAAACATTCAGCATCAACGAAATTCAATATGGCGGCTCTTCCGGCAACAGCTTTGTTACTTCGGCTTGCTAATTGTCAAA